GCTTGTTATACACTTTGGCTGCTGCGAATGCCAAAGGAGCTTGCGCTAAGTCAAGCAATTTGAGAAGCAGTGAATAGGAGCAGACCTGAGAAAATTATCAGTTTGGCTTTGATATCTTAAAGCAATAATATACTATATAAATAGTCATACAAATATGATATTGATATGATTTCTCAAATATTTAGCTTAGTTTCTTTCTGTCGATTAGTTTTTCCTGCTTTACAGTAAATTAAATATTTAGCTTATAAAATAAGATGTCTAGAGTTACCAAGTCAAGTCCTCATGTCAATATGATACGTCATATGATGCATACTTTATTCATTATGCATATGCCTAACTTTCCATACCTCATAATGAGCTCATAATGAAATGTTAATCAACTTATGCCCGTGAGTAAAGTAGACCTCAGCTATGATCTCTTGCACACATCACATATCGTATATCACTTCCTCTAGAGCATTGACAATTCGTTATCTGTAAGTCCGGGCATCCTCTCGTGGCCGTTGCATGTTGTTTGCGTTGGATTCGCGTTCTCTCTCGCTTGAATTTGGCTTGCATGATGACCATCATGCCAAGAAGTTAACAAGTTTGCGCCGTCGCCACCAATGGGAGAAAGGCCGTCGACGTCGACGACAACGACGACGACGACGATGACGACGACGATGATGATGATGAGGCCTTCGAGGCTGTGAGGCTGTGAGGCTTTGGGTCTCTGACGATCGCTTAAAAAGAGCTGTGTAAATTTTAATGGCTGCAGTTGCATCCGCAGCAGCAACGGTCGCAGTCGCGGCAGCATCCACACACACATGCCCCATTCCAAGACGAACGTCAGTCGTCAGGCAGGCAGCTTTCAACAGGTAAAGTCTCGAACGAGGCACGGCTCGTTGTGCTTGGCTGGGCCAGTCCGTCCAGTGCGTAGGGCGCCTTCAGCTGGCTGCGCTGCCTCAGCTGACGGCGCGACGTCGCTGCGTAATTGTAGGCCACTGTTTTAGCTTGTTGTCGATAATTAGCGCTTGTTACCCCGCGCTCCGCTGGCCGCGTGTTGCCTGCCAGCCTGCCAGCCTGCCTGCCTGGTTATTATTTATTATGAGCTTGTTGTTTTTCATCATAGCTCATTGCCCATGCCCATGCAAAGGAAACATGCCGTGCCCCGCTCAGCGCCTTCACCCCTTTGCGCCACAGACCAACGCATTTTCCATAATTATTTCGAGAGTTGTTTGGGGTGAAGACGCGAGTGCGCGCGCGCGCCTGCGCAAAGCAATACAGAGAAAGAGTGAGGGAGAGAGTGAGAAAGAGAAAGAGAAAGAGAGAGAGGGGAGTGAGGGAAGAGCTCAAGTGGTTGCGCGGCATAAACGCTGCTCTTTAGCCAAGACACACACCCCCCAGAAGATCGGCATTCACTTGTTGCTGTCGCAGTCGCAGCGCAGTTGGCGTCGCAGTTGCCGCTGTTGCTGTTGTTGCTGACTTGGCACGAAGCGTAATATAATATAAATATAAACAGGGAGCAGTTAGTTTTCAATTTTTTTTTCTGCTTTTACACTTGCTGCAAATGGTTGCATGCGGCATGCGGCGTGGGGCACGGTGCGTTCAGCTTGTGCCCCGCAGTTGTTTGAGCATTGCAGGCCGTTAAGGATGCCAGCGTCAGCGTCGGGGAGAATGTGAGACTGCCTGCCTGCCTGGAAGCTTCAAGTCATGGCACAAGGGATATATTATAGTAATTACAAAATTAAGCCGAACATCTTGCTGTCCCCCTCTCTCGCACTCTCGCCCTCTCTCTTTCCGTGTGCAGTGTTACATCGCTTGACTATGTGGCAAAATCTGATTGCGAGCGATAAGACACAAGATGCGAACTCGCACCAGATTGTGAACTTGCGCGTGGTTAATCTATGAGCTCCATCTGCATGGGACACGCAAAACATAATCAAAGAGATCCAATTGAGCTAAAACTAAAGGTACTCTAAGTGAGTGTTCCATGTGTTAAGCTTTCTTTGAAATGGAAATCTTCTCATTCAGTTCTCTGCCCCATTGAAGTTGCCTGAAAACAATGCACTTTTAATGAGATAATAAGTTCTGGAATTCGTCTCGAATTAAAGCCTCTTCTTCTTCTTCTTCCTCCTCTTCTGCTCTGAGGTCAAATAACATTATCAACAGCAAAGCCTGAGAATCGAGAACGCTGCTCGGCAACCGCATTTCGGTGGCTGCTTATCCTTCAAGGCTGTTAAAACAATTTACACCAGCTCGAGTCAAAGTCAGTTAGGCGAAGGCCAGGCAGACAGAGAGAGAGAGAGAGAGAGAGAGAGAGACAGAGTGAGGTGGGCAACAATCGAATTTCGCATAACTTTGCGTTGCGGCTACGGCTGATCGTTAAGAGCATTTTGTGTTGCCCTTTTCTGTACATCTGTCTGTCTGTCTGTCCGTCCGTCCGTCCGTCTGTCTGTCCATTCGTCTGTCGTATGCAAGCAACGGCAGCAACTTAATCGACATCGTTTTCACATTGTCAATTGTCTGCAGCACTCTGCATGTCCATGTCCTCCACAACCTTCACCCATCAACAGCAGCCAACAGCAGCAGCAGCAGCAGCAGCAGCCACAGCAGCAGCCAGCAACAAACAAAAGCCAAGTCACATCATCAAAAAAGACGAGAAGAAAAAGCTTCAACTTCAGCAGCAGCAGCAGCAGCAGCAGCAACAGGCAGCAGGCTTCAACTACAGCTTTAGTTTTAGCCTCAGTCTTCTGCTGTCTGTTCGCTGGGCTCTCAACTTCCTGTCAAAGTTCAACAAACCGCCCAGTCAAAAGCCTCCTATCCCTATCCCTCTCCCTCTCCCTATCTGCATCCCTAAACCTTCGCCCAGCCTCCTCGCTCGCTGGCTTCCTTTGCTCTGCTTAACCATGCGCTATAATTGCAGATTGCAGTGGAAAAAGGCGAGCAGCAACAGCAACAGCAACAGACGCAACAGCAACTGTTGCTGCTGCCTACGTTTCGTTAATATTTTTGCAAATTTTTTTAACCTCCACTTTGCAGCTCGTCGTTTCATGTTGTTGTTGTTGTTTGTGTTGTTGTTGCTCCTGGCACACCAAAAAAAAAAAAAAAAAAAAACGTAGCCAGCGATCAACAAAAATCTCAGCTCAAGTCTTGCTGGCTCTTCCTCTCTCACTCTCTCTCACTCACAATAGTAAGCAAAGTTGGCATGCATAAACCAGTTTACATGCAACTTCTGCTCCTGCTCCTACTCCTACTCCTGCTCCTGTTGCTGCTCCTCATATGGTGCTGGGCGAACGCTGTCTTCTGGGTTGCTGCTGCCGCTGCTGCTGCTGCTGCTGCTGCTGCTGCCTGTGATCGATTGCTGTTTGAGCATGCAAATGTGTAAAGACGCCTCCACCGCCGAGGTTGCAAGTCGCATGTTGCAAGTCCGAAACCGGCTAACTGGCTGCGGCCCGAAACGTGTCCGATTGCAGCAGCAGCAGCGGCAGCAACAGCTTTTTGGCTCTTTTACTGCTATGTCTGTCCGCCCCTCGCGCTGTCTGCGCAGCGACAAACTGGCGAAATATATTTGTAAGTTTGTGTTTTGAAATATGTTGCTGACGATCGCCTGGCATTGATTTCCAGAGCCAACGCCTGACACACGCCCGTACGCCACCCTCGGCTCGGGCCACCCAGCCCCTCCCCCTGGTGCCCTAGTGGTAAACTCTAGTGTTGCTCGGTCGTGAGATGCTTGCCGCTGATTTTTGATGAATTTATTAAGATTTTTGCTGTAGCTGGCCTTTTGCTTTTTGCTTTTTTTGCATTTGGCTTTTCGGCTGTTGTGGCTCATCGCCGAAATGGAGATTCCAAACATGTTAAAGGAAAACTCTAATGAGTTTCTAGAAGCGAAAAGTCAAAGAATTTTCGACTATGGCTCGGCTGAGCCATCAACGCCTTTACGCTTGAGCTATGATTAGTGTCAGTGTTTGGGTCAACCACAGTTGGGATTGATATATGGCCCGCAGTGACCGCGAGCACAGACCACACAATTTCGGCCGTCCAACTACCTGGGCCAAGCATGCATCCAAATTTCCAAGCAATTGGCCGTGTCTAACAAAAAATGAAAAGGGCACCTCAGTCGGGCGTCTTTGGCTAGGCAAGGGTCCTGCGGAGCGTTTCGAAACATGTCGCAGAGCCCAGCACGCCAGCTGTTGTCCCGTTGTCCTTTATCCTTGTTGTTTTTGGGCCCAGTTTGTTTAGCCAGCACAGCGAAGCAAAGTAATTTCGATTGTGCACCTCGATTCCGTTCTACCTATGCCTCACTGTAACTCATTTTCTTACCTTTCGATCTGTCTACCTTTTCTTTGCGTATGTCTTGTACCATTGACAGCTGCTGCTGCTGCTGCTGCTGCCTCTTTGGCTCCGAGTCCATTTGGGCATATTCGTTGTGCCTGGCGGGCAGTTTTGTCTTGCTTTTCCCTTAGCCTGTTTCCCTTTTGCCCTTTTGTTACGCAAAACGTTTGTTTACCCAAAACACAGACGGAAAATTGGAAAATTGTGCGCACAATTGCTGGCTTAGCGTTTTCCTCTTCGATCCAATGTTTTTGTCCATTTCTGATTTATTTTGATCGATCGTTTTCTTTTTGGCTTAGCTCTGTAAGACTCTTTCTCTCTCTCCCTCCCTCTCTTTCATTCACTTTCTCGACCTTCTCTATTCTTCGCCTGTTTATTTATAGTCTTAATTTTGGTCGCTTTCCATTCACTGAATATACCCCACAAATAGTTCCTGAAATTGCACATGTCCACACACCATTTGTGTGAACATTTGACAAGGCTGATTGCCTCGAGGCCCGGGAGTTCTCGGTTCTCACGACTTGCCAGGTGGGCTGACAGCATCCAGCTCAACTACTGTGGCCACTTGGCAGTGTCTAAGGAGCACCCAGCACTCAGTTCAAGCAGCTGTCCGCAGCACAGCTTACAATAAGTAGAGTAGAGATTCTAAGTAGGCCTGGCTGACTTGGCACTGCCAAGGGAGTAGGAAAGTTCAATTGCAAACCTCATTCACACCTTACATACATACGATCGTACAGAGAGATACATATAATATTCATCCACAAAACAAAACATTTACTCATTTACAATATTTAAAAAAGTATTTAGCTTTAGTTAATTGATTGATTGAATATTGGCACAATGAAACGCGTTCACGTTGGCACTACCGCTCCGAAGTACCACAGCGGCAAGTGGACCTGGGATGAGAGCAGTGAGAGCTTGCGCTTCCACCCCTACTCGGACTTGGAGGATGCTAATGAACGTTTCATCATGACAAATGGCTTCAAGTTCCTGCGCACCATCAACCAGGAGGAGGAGCTGATCTACCGTCAGGTGTTCGCGCGACCCGAAAACACGTTCGATGGGGACGTCGTGGTGGTCAATGATGTGCGCGACCTGGTGCTCTTCATGATGCCAAAGGAGTTCCTGTCGATCAAGTTCGTGGACTTTATGCACAGGCCGGCCGTGCACCGGCTTCTGCATGCGCTCGTCATCTACTTTGAGTACTTTCTGCGCTTGGTCGAGTTCATTCTGATACGGCGCGACGAGCTGTCGGGCGATATGGCCCAGGTGCAGAGCGAGCAGACGAACGAGGTGAAGCGCATATTCTCCTCCCATCTGAGCCACTTTCGCATGCTGGTGGCCCGGAACTATAGCGTCATCATAAAAGGCGAGGGCGACATGCAGGAGTTCTACCACACCAAGGAGGTGGTTAACATTTCGTCCACGATCAGGGATCGGGCATTTCACGAGCAGTTCCTAGCGGTCGCCACTCAGATCATTTGGATAACCATGCACAGGCGCGCCTATTTCATCATTGAGATGGAAATGAACCGGCTCTTTCGCTCCGAGCACTTTCTCATGAATAACATACACTATCTGAACTTTACGACCGTCGAGCGATCCCTGCTCTATGGCCGCAACAACAAGATCTTCAATTGCCGCGTCCAGAACTCGCCCATGATTCAGGAGCTGCAACACGTGGCCGACGAGGACATGCCCATTCTGTGGATAGGCGAGCGCCAGTATCGTGGAACCGATCTACGCATAGCGCAGGTCGAGATGGAGTATCTGATACCGGGATCCCAGTTGAATCTGGCGGACCTTTCGCACGGTATTCTCGGCCACCCAAAGAATCTGTACGACACGATTCTCTCGCTGGACTGGCCCTCGGTGCGCTTTGCCAACTTCTCGAAGCAGTACGATCCCTACAATCTCTTACGGCAGCCGGGCCTGCAGCTGCCCAACATCGATGAGATGCAAGTGCGTCGGATGGCCAAGCAGTACGATCACTTCTACAGGGTATTTCGCATCTACGAGTCCTGCAGCAAGAAAATGCTAAACAATTGGTTCAACCGCGACAAGATAGTCCAATACTATAGCAGTGGCGGAATACTCAAGAACGTCTTCATGCGCGGCGAGGAGCAGCTGGTCACGGAGGAGGACCGCTCCGACATTAACAAGATTGTGGCCAACTATTTCGATGTCATGCTCAAGCTGCGCAAGCAGAAGGCCACAACAATTATGACATCCGATACTGGCCATAAAAAGCAAGAGGCTGAGTTCTTCTGCTAGGGCCTAGGGAGCAGTTGGAAAGAATGGGAAAACTTATTCGATAATCACGATAAAAGACAAGTTGACGGGATTTCAACAGTTTCTTTAACCAATTTCCAATTGATGATCGTTTCAAAAGTCTAACCTTTTATAACCAACTTTTCACATTCATATCTTTGAACAATAAACTGCATTTCAAAGCTAAGCGAAGCTGACGTTTATTTATTATTTATTTTTATTTATTATACATTTTAATGAGAGAATGCCGCAAAAATATTGAAAAGTTTTTACTATAAAAAAGTTTTATAAGAATGGTCATCTAACATAAAGTCTTTATTCACTTGAAACCCAAGAATTAAATCCTGAAAAAAATTTAAAATACAGAATGTATATAAAATATATTTTAATTTATATACAAATATATATTTTTTTATATTTTATATTTATATATTATTTATATTTTATATTTTTATATAAATATTTTATATTAAATATACATACATCCAACTCAAGGGAATTACTGCATCTAATTGGCATTCTGAAAATGTACATTAGAATATCATGAGTAGACCTTTGATTACGATAAAAGTCATGCTCATTAGGAGCCCATACATTAAAAAACTGCTGAGTCTTCTGATATAAGAAAAAGACCCCAAATCGATTCTGATTTTTGCGCTGAAAAACGAATCGCCACAAGCTCAACTTCTTGCACTCTTCAGCAACTACTTGAGTCTCTTCAAAATATTATAATATGTCCTTATGAGGACGTGATCTAGCATAAAGTTGCCTTGGAAAGCGGCCCAGGCTAAATGCTTTTGAGGAACTACAAGGAGTTGGCCATGACAGCAGCAGAAGGCTGAGCAGCAGCAGCAGCATCATCAGTGCGATTCTCCAAATCATAAAAAATAACGAGCTGAGCTCTCAATCAATCAGCAGCTGGCTAAACCAATTGTATTGACTAGAGGAAAAGCAGCAACGCAGCCTCAAGTTCCAATCGCATTTAAATTATTGAATGCCAAATGCATTAGGCGGCTTAGCGCCCCTCGGGCCCCGTTGCCCGTTGCCCGATGCCCGACGCCTTAAGCAAATCCATAACTGACAAATCATTTTCAAGCGAGTTAAGTAAGTCCCAACACAAATCTCTAGCCGAGAGCTGAGCTGAGCTCTCGCTCTCTCCCTCTCCCTCGCCCTCTCTTGCCATCTCTGTCTACATATATCAATTGCCTGGGCTGTTAAATAGCTTTTGGGTGTGTATGGGAATCCAATAAAGCTGTCACATGTGCCCGCCACTAAGAAGAAGCCTTTTGTATGCCTTTGCCCCGTTGTTTGGGTGTGAAAATCAGAAGAAGAAAAAAAAAACTTACTTCGCATATGCCCCTAATACCCAAAGTTCCCCTCAAAGCCCCGCCGCCTCGGCCGCCTCTGCCTCCTCACAGCTGGCAATGCCGTTTGGGGGCAACTTTCGTGCAAATTGCCAAGTGCTTTTCGGGTTTTCGAGTTTTGTGTATGCAGAACTTAACAAATTTCCATAACATTCACACCACACAATGAAAGACACACAAACCGAGATGGCAAAGCAAACCAAAGCCTGCGTCTTCGATCTCTCGTTCGAATCGCAGTCCAACTCCAAGTCAAAGTCTGACTCTGACGCTGACTCTGACTCTGACTCTGATTCTGAGTCGGAGTCTGAGTCTCAAGTAACTGTCCAGTTGCAGACGTCGCTCTGCTTTATTTGCTACGTCATTTTTTGTTTCTCTCTTTTTTCGCACATACCCTGTAATCATATGACGGCATATGGTTTCGTTAAGTGGGAAAGAAAGAAACAAACTCTCTTATATCTTTCTATGTGATTATCTTCTACTATGCGATTCTAGGCTAAAATTTGGTAAATTGATTGAGCTAGTTTTGCTGCCTTCGCGGAATTTTAGGTAGTCAAAACATAATAGGGCTTTCCTTTGATGCAGTGTGAATTTGCCATCTCATGAATTTTCATACCTTTTGAATTTGGAAAGTCAAGTGAAAAAGCTCATATACATACATATAGATTAATATAAAGTTAAGAATAAAGTCTTTGATTCCAACAATAAATCTAGTAAATCTATGCAAAATAATATTATTTTTGGTAAATAATAAGATGATTAAGTAAAACTAGAAACATGAAAAATTCAACTAAATTACATAAATTACAAAAAAATATTTTAAAATATTTACCTAACTCCATACATACCCTATCAATAAGAGCGTCAAAGGAATTCGATTTGTTAGCATTTAATACTGAAACAATATTATTTTCATCTGAAACTCACCTGAAATATGGAAATTTCTTGCAAACCCACATTTAAAACGTTTTTCACACCACGCAAAAATGTGCAAGGCTAAAGGGTATATGCGAGTCGAGCTGTTTTGCATATGCATGCGAATTGGTATTTTGTATTTATTTATTTTTATTTATTTTTTATTTTTGGCTTGCGGTTAGCCAGTGAGTCGACTGCAATGTCGTTTTGTCTGGGATTGTATAACGTTTTTGATTTTTTAAGTAGACACCTAAATGTGAATAGCGCATCGAATCGTAGCAATGCGAACCACGTCCACATCCCCATCCACATCCACATCCACGTCCACATCCACATCCACGGCTACGTCCACGTCCGCGTCCAGCGAGCGCGAGTCGCATCTGTCAGATATATTTTTGTGGCTGCTTAGTGAAGTGTAGTTAGGATCGATGGATGCTTCATTGGGTCCAGCACTGACTCAGAGGCTGGCTGGCTGGCTGGCTGTTGTTTTCACCTTGGCCAAGCACGAAGTGAGGGAAATGGCGATGCAAACGGCGGCTGCCGCTGCCAATAATGCAATGGAGAGGCGTGATAATGCAGTTTAGTGAGTGCTGGCCAAAAATTTACCTACAAGCCAGCGAAAGACAGGGAAAGGACGGTGGGAAGGGGGAAGGTAACATGGCCAGCATCATCGTCTAACGGATTGGTTCGTATTCGATTGGATTGAGTGAGTGACGTGGCTGGAGTTTCTGGGCCTGGGTCTTAGGCCTGTGTGCAATATGCACAGCACTTGGCACGATATTTTTTGTTGGTTTTAAATCATTTAACTTGGGCTAGAAGACGGCAACAACGACGGCGACGGCGACGATGATGATGATGATGGGCTGGCGATGGCGATGGCGACGCGAAACGGCGCAAGACACTTAAAACGTGATCGAAAATTGATGTTGGCTGCAGAAAAAAAGAATGAGCAGAGGAAGAAGAAATAAACAGCAAACAAGCAAACCACCGAAACCTCCAACCACCAGCAACCACAGCGGCAGAGTCCGCTCCATTCTGGTCTGTGCGGGGGAAATAAGGTCACGTGCAGAAATATGTTCGTGGTGCTGATCGAGGTGGTTCTGGCCCGGCAGAGATGTTAATGATTTGCAGCTCAGCTCGGCTCCAGAGCTGCACCACGGCTGGGGCAGGCAACAATTTTGCATATTTTCGCTGGCTGGCAGATAGTAGGTAATATGCTTGTTAATGTGCCCAGCTTTGCCTTGATCTCGGCTGCCCGCGCTCATGCTGCATCTCGCTGCCTCCCTCTCTCTCTCTCTCTCTCTCTCTCTCTCTCTCGCGCTGTGTGTGAAGTTCAAAAACCAGGAAGTGACTCAACAACAACTGCATACAACGGAGGTGAAAAATATGACTTGGTTATTTATTGTTGAAGTGTTGCAGTGCAAAAAGGCTGAAAGCAAAGCCCAGACCCAAACCCAAGCCCAAAACCCAAAACCAAAACCGAAAGCCCAGCTTCAGCGCGAACCCGGAGCAAACGCAAAGCGAGCGCTTGGGCCTAAACTACGTTTGGGGTATTTAGCCAAGTGATTTATTTAGCCTGGCACGCCAGGCGGTTAACCGCTTGACAAGCAGCGAAACTGGCAGCGGGAGCGGCGTGCGGTGCTCAAAGCATAGCAGCTGCGCCTGCCAACACACAAACACACACACACAGATACACACATAGACAGAGAGAGGGGTTCGCATACCACATATATGACTACAATAAGCCATAATTATCCAAACGCTGCTCCGACTGGTTGCCTCGCATGCAGCGAATTGCCATAGATCTTGCCAATGCGAACTGTTCATGGCTCAGCAATTTCCATCAAATTTATTGAATTTGTAGAATAGCCATTATCGACTTGGCTCTGATATACTAATTGTGGCCTAGAACTGACTTGAGCCTAGATAAATGTCCATTGTAATAGACTTTTCTATTATTTAATTACCCCACTATATATATATTTCCAAATACTGAAATCTCGCCATTCTATTGACAGTGTCTCGCCCTTTCTCTCTCTCTCGCTCACTCGCTGTCTAACTGTGATGCCTGCTTCCGCTTGTGTTAGATTCACTGTCTCGCAGCGCTTGGACCCTGCTCAATCAGTCGCTTGTCGAGCCGCGGGGCGCTGTGGTGCTGCATCTAAGGTGCTTGGAAACGTCGCATCGATATCGTCAGAGTCAGAGTCAGCGTCAGCGTCAGCGTCATTGCGCTACTCCTGCTCCAAATGCGGCCTGGGCGCTGTCCAAATCGATAAAATGCACCGCGATCAGCGCGGCACACATCAAATTAGTTATTAATTGAAGTGGAAAGTTCTCAGAATGTGTAGCACGGCGGGCGGTCAACGCGCATGCGTACCCAGTCCCAGTCCCAGTCCCAGTCCCAGTCCCAGTCCCAGTCCCAATCCCAGTTCCAGTCGAAGTCGAAGTCCCACTGGCAGTCGCAGGTCTCTGCAAACGTAAGCCAAGTCACAGTCGGAGCAGGAGTTGGAGTTGGAGTGGAAGCTGGGTCTTAGCTGACCGACTCGGCTTGCCTTGTTAGCCACTTTGTTAACCTGTTTTGGCGGCGCGCATTTGAATTTTCATTTATTATAAGCGAGTCGCATTTCTAATTTGAGTCATGTGACCAAAAACAGTTTTGTCCTAGTTGTCGCCTCCTGCCAGCCGCAACTGTGTGTCTCCAAACAATTGGTGAATGGTCTTACCCATAAATCTTTTATACCTGCCCCCACCCCTCTCTCTCCCTCTATCGCTCTTTCACTACTTTTCGATTTGTTGCTGTTGCTTGTACACACATTTGTGCCATTACTATGACAACAAATTCATGAGAAAGTACAGCGAGTGCCGCGACTGCTGCGGCTGCTGCTGCTGCTGCAGTAGCTGCCACAAGACA